TCAACGACACCCATGGACATCTGCAATCCCAGAGGAACTGCAGATGCATTGGCGGCCTTTAAGAAAATGGGGTGCTCGCTTCTTGAAGGTCCCTAAGTCGTATTGGTTTGGAAATACCGCCGAGGACAGACCGTTCCACCACGCGCAAGAAATAATAATATTCGATAGCATTTGGATATAATAATAGTCTTCATAGAAATCACAAAGACCTCACAATGGAATATTATAAACTAACTAACGAATATTTAAAATCCATGAAACTCGTATCAAATACAGAGTTCATTTTAATATTTTAACCTATAAGACGAAATGAGTTGTAATCTCATGAGACATATCAATCTTTGCATATTTGAAATAATATTTAATAATTAAAATGACCAAAATACATTGGTTACTATGTGTAGTTCATATTTTTAAGTACACGTTTTGAGTCTTGTATGGAAGACGACGGCCTACGAAGCCATTATTTGCTTGTCTAGTATACTAGACTACGGCAGCGAAAAGGTTAACGAGCAAACTCCATATAAAATAGTTATCCATGTGCCGTTGACATTCAGGAGCGGGAAACAACAATTACCGGGTACTAGGAGTACATAAGTGGCAGGAGACTTTCCCGGAAGGCGGAGTAATATGGCGTATGCGGATTGAGCGGTAGTCGTGCACTCACGGCCGGCTGCGCCACTTCAGAGGAACGAGTTAATAATAAACTACAATGATGTTGTGAACTGAACCGTTAAACACGAACCAAGTTGTCCAGCTACGTGAAACGTATTGCACCATGCTACGTGATTGTTACAATTATTTTTTTCAGACTATCACAGCTAGATAATACGCTTCCAGTCCGTTTCCCAATTTATATGGTATGAATATCGCCGTACGTAATTTTACACAACAGTAAGTCAATATAAAACCAAATTTATAGGAAGCTTTCTAAGAAAAATTTAACCAAATAAATGGTCGCATTTCAAGAAAAAAATACCAGAAAGAACAACGTCATTGAAGTGAACCTCTTTTGTTAGTTTCATCAGTCCGTGTCCATTGTGTAAATACAATTCAATGTTGCCGCAATTCCTAGCTATTTAAAGCACTAGTTTGTTTAGAGCTGGAATACTGAGTTAATTTAACATTCGCACTATTTAAATTGAGCTTAGAAATTTCAAACGAATATGTTACATTGACTAGTTTCTACGAGCAACTACTATGTGACTGTTTAGGTTATTTAAACCATAACACTAACAAAGTTTTATATTAATTTTATATAGACAACGCTAACTGAACCAATTATCAAGAGTAGGTACCTGAAACCAACGCGTACGAATACGTAGATGTATGAATGTAGAAGAAACGAGGAGTGTCAGGACCACGCCAAATAGAGATCCGTTGTCTCTGCCTAACCCTCTGGGCAATGGGGGTTCTTGTAGCTACCAAATAATTTTTGTAACCTTAAAGAATCCTTACGAATACGAGGCATATTCGCAAGAACGCATAATCTCATTCATCGTTGATTGATTTATTGATAAGCGGCTTTGTCAACCGAGACGGCGAATAAAGGACCCGTTATAAACCGTATTTTATGCACATCACGTGACATAACTATATCTACGTAAAGGTCAAAGGATTTTTTGCATTCTGCCTCAACATTTTTTATAGCCCTACGATAAATATTTAGAGAGGAAAGGAGGGAAGCCTTTTTCCTTGCTACCCATGTGTATCGTGCTATTTTTGCGGTCAATCTTTCCACAGAGTCGAGTCCGTTCTATCATTCTCGCCTTTCTTTTTCCATCTTTCTTTTCATATTAAGACTAGCTTTAATCTGCGTATCCTTTCGCGCGGAATAAAAAAAATTAATAACCTATGTATTCTTCCAAGATATGTTATCTATGGCAAATTTCAACGAGATCCATTCTATCGTTCTGGAGATACCTTCTAACAAACTTTGATCCAAACATCAAAACGTTTGCATAAGATAATTTTCATAACATGATTAATAATGTAATATTCTTATTTCTCATAATATAGATACTGCAATAAAAAAAGTAAACGATGCGATAAATTTATAGGACATGTTTCCGTACTCACACAATTCCATAGTTCAAATATTTTGTGTTGTCTAACATGTTTAAATATGCACTGCTGTTGGTGGAAGCCGAACACTACCAATGCACGCAACTATAATCGTCATGAATTTATCAAGATAAATATTAATTACTATTATACACGCATAAATAAGTAGTTAAATATAATATGAGCATGAAAACATAACATAGATTAAGTATTATATTCAGATTCTTTGGATTTTTAGATATACCGCATGAAAGATAGTTAAATTCTACAAAATGTGCATTTAAAGGTGACGATGGAGTTAAGTACCTAAAATTTCCGATGCAAATATTTTTAATACAAATATGCAGTAGTTTTCGACAGCAAATAATTAAGTCTTCGTGCGCTTGCCAAAAAAAGCATCCGTAAAGACAAAGACTGCCACATTACGAATCATTCATAATCTGTCATATCATGAAATGCATAAAGCAAACATAAATACGAAATCATTCAGTATGGTATCAAAAATCACAAAATTTTCTCTTTGTTTTTAGTTAAACGTTTTCTATTAGTTTTTTAAACACTTAAATTTCTAAATTCATAAATCAACACAATACACGAGTCTTATAGATGAGCAGATGTCGCTTGAGACTCCGTTCCGGAAAGAAAAAAATAACTTAATTAGTATTCTATTTTTTCTTGTAGGCTACGTTCTACGTGTGTGCCAAATTTCATTCAATTCAAAATCCGTTAAGCCCTTCCGGTGATACATACATACATCCGTCCATCTAAACATTCGCGTTCATAATATTAGCAAGATTTAAATATTTTCATTAAAGTCAATATCTGCTCATCTCGTAATGATAGGTTACCACACTGTGTGATCTCCATACAAGATGACTCCACAAGCTATCGTAATCGAATTGAAAAAATCGCATAGAATCTATTGATAATCGAAACATTTACAAATGATAGAAATAAATATATTTTTTAGTTTCTACTTTAATATAACAATAAAGATTTGATAGATACAGATGAAGTATTATTATAAATCCTGTTGCTGTGGTGACATTTCAGAATAACACACAGGTGTGGGTGTTACTTCCGTGTGGCTTTCTACCCGATATTTTAAATGCCAAACAATAAACTGGAATGATAGCAAGCACTTTCTTCAAATATCAACTTTCTGTGCAGTAAAATTGACATTTAAATTTGCAACTATAAAACGAAAATATTTTTATGTACAAGGATCATCACGTCTCAAATAAATTGTTATAAAAAACGAATGAAAAGAAACAAAACACTTACATAGCACTACTCCCATTGTTATTAACTTCAATTAAAACATAGTTCAACAAGATATATACACACCACAGACAGAAATAACATACGAAACGTACAATAACACGACTAAACCTAATGGGGTAATTAGAGCTAATGACAGTATAAATCGAACCTAATATTCACAACAGATTGTTTGGACTAACACGACAGTCTATGAATCCTGAACTATTTTGACAAGTTAATGATATTGTTATCGTTCATTTAGAAAAATAGATTAGAAGTAGAGGAAAGCTGCGGCAGAGTCATGACACCCTAGTAAAATAGTCCAAGTTTAACGAAGTCCAAATGTAAGTCTTTAACTATGTAACCGAAAAGCATCGAAGGGCTGACAGGAATACGAAGAGTTATTTATTTAAACAATACACAAGAGCATTAAGGAATATAACAAAGGGAATGAAATGATTAGACAAACATGATAAACGAGGGTGGAGTGCGCTCAGGTCAATAAGGCCGTGGGTGCGGTGCCGCGCAGTTGACTTAATGTCAATGCTTACACATATAGAGTTTCTATTACATTGGACAAGCCCACACAATAAGTGCCAACGTATTCCTGCTTTTCATACATATGTAATGCAGAGGACGTTTATTTCCTAACCATTTCTGTTAAATTTCGCCTACTGCTGCCTTTGGTCTAAAATTCTTCGTGCATACGTACCATATTAACTTATGGCGAAGGTTTGCCGAACGATATTCCAAGTGGGAAGTGAATTTATTTCTTTGACGATCTGATGAATTCTCAACTATTTTATAAACTGCGCAAAACGATAAGCTAAAGAAATGATTTCAATGACAGATGTAATAATATTGTATTGTACAAACGTAAGCGGACTCAAAACTTACAGAATAGTAATTTTCCATTAATTTACTTTTAATATAAACACGTTATCGATAAATTACTACAACAGAATTCATACAAAACTAAAACCTTTGATCGGATACGATGGGCAATAATAGTGAGATTCAATTTGGCATCGTTGTGACAGGCCTTTCACACTTTAAAAACTTTTACTTATTGAGCCGAACTGAAGATCAAACTTGTTGAATATATACAAGTACTCCTAAATTGTACTATTATACTAATATTGCCCACTTTCAATATGTTAATACACAACATAAATATATCATAACGATGGTTTCAATTGTTGTTTTATAAAAAAAAATAACCGCAATCTTAAATTATAAACCCTGAAATAAATACAGCTAGAACACATTACCACTACGTACAACATCGACATGCCAAACACCATTAAGTAATCATCATCTAAAAAACAACTAATCATATAAAAAACATCGAATAAGCATGCTTCCAGTAAAGACAAGTGTTAAGCTGGCATTGTCAGAAACTTTTTAAATATTCTTTTTCGTGACATGTAAATTGGACCTAAAATATTGTTAGTAATTTGAAGGTTCTTAGGACACAAGTAAGGTCACTAACTCGGAAAACGTACGATTTAATGTATTCGAATACAACATCTCGCAAAAGCGTTAGTACTTTATAAAAATCAAAACATAACAGTGGTAGATCGTTTGACAAATTATGTAAATATTTGACCAGCCTTTAACAAGTTAGTATTAATATTGGTATGGAACTTTTTGTTGTTTTTTGTTATTTTATAGTGTGTAAGACGGGTATTATAATTTTTTCTCTAATATGTTTGTCTTTTTATTTCAACCAACCAGTTATTTAAAACATGAGTGAATTGAAAACACAGAACAGCCAGACTAGTTTAAAAAAATAAAGATTACAGTCAACGCAACAATCTTCCTACTCCATAAAAATGTATATTAAGGGAGATGAAACATTGTAGCGTTTAGCTGTAGCACATTTTGCTGTAAAGAAAATTCTAAAACTACAAAGTTGGAACTAAATTTGTGCGCCACATGTAGCACTTACGATGGGAGGTGGCGGTCTTCTTTTCCGAAGCCAGCTCGGCCTTTTTAGGTGCGTCCACGTCGCCTGCGAGTCGCGGTAAACACAAAAGCAACATTAGAACATTGAAGTGGACATGTATAATGCATGAAACAATATAAAGGATGGATGGTTGGACGATGGTTGCGGGCTAACATTTCAGCACGATCAGATGCAGCGTTGCGAGGCACGTTTACAAAGACAAACTCACTGATGGTACGTCGAAGTTTCTTACAAAAGGAGGAGAGGCGGTCTCGAGCTCGGCTCAGTTGGCCATTTTTGTCTGCGTCGAGGAGACGCAGAAGCGAGGGTTCGGATCGCGCGCCGACCTCCCCGACAGGTCGGAGCGCCATCGCGGCGGGGCCCTCGGAGACCGCCAGGTTGTCTAGGCATACCGGGCCTACGGGACACTCCAGCTTGGTGGAGGATCGCACGCGAGCGCGGCACGATGTCGACTGCCGGCCGCCAACCGCCACTAGCCCGCCCCGCCCCGGCCCGACACGCCGCGACGCACACACCGTAGATGCGCTAATTCAAACTTCGCAAACTCTAGACATACTGTCAATTCCACCTTTCTATTCTATATAATTACTCTCACAAATAACTATTAAACTCCTTTCGATAACGCAATATAACTGGAATGAAGGAAAATAAGAAGGGTACACTGAACTGAGGTTTATTTTCGTCACTTCACTGTATTTATCTTAATATTTTGCCAATTAGCGAGTTAGCATTATATTTATTTATGACTCATCGAGTGTTACGAGAGAATGGCTCGATGCTTATCTTCGGTTCCCATGGCGAACAATGAGAAGATTCAATTATAAAGTAACATGGAGACACAACGATAAGGTTTACGCGTTCTGGAAGCTATCGACGCGAGACAACAACATCATATGATGAGAAACGTGGATGTTTGCGCGGTGTACGGTTGCATAATGGCGAGTGAAGCAGAAGCTCTCATTTAACAGTATGGGTCGTGGTAATGTTGTCTTAGCGCACTTCGTACTGCCCGCTCGGATCACGTCGCGGTCGTGTCTACCTTTTTATACAGCCGATGATAATTCACGACATGTGACGTCATCAATACATAATTTTTTTTCTTAAATTGTAGTCGTTAAAATACTATGTAAACAGACGAATAACAAACCAGTGCAGTGCGAACTGTCTCGTACATAAATAACGTGTCTTTAAATCCTTTCTTTTATAACGAAGTGGTACTGTACAAAATATAATTTCATTTAATATATTTGATATTGATTTAGTGAAAATTATTTGCATGATATCTGTAACACTTTGGAAGACAATCGTAAAAGCACCGAAAAGAGTAATTTTCGAGACATATGACTTTATTAAACAATGAAAAACGTTTAGTAATTGCCAGTAAAGTAAACGACAAAGACACGGATGCCGCCACCGGGGATCGAAATAAAAGGATGTTATGTGTTAACATAACTGACATTCTCGTAGCTGTTAGTATTCAAGCCAAATGTATTTTGTTAGTGTGAAATTAAAAAAACTTAATTAGTAGCCTGTGTGTTTTTCCAGATTATAGTCTACATCCATGCCAAATTTAATTGAGATCCGTTTAGGTTATGGTATGGTTATGGAGACACCTTCTAACAAATATCCATCCATTTAACCATTCGCAGTAATAAAAGCAGTAAGATACAAAGTAGGACCTGATCGAAGACAATACTTGTGAGTTTAATAAACTTTTTGCTTGAATTTAGAATATTATTTTGGATTTTTGACTTCGGCATTACAAAGCTAGTCAGATATAACTAGCAATAAAGACACCAACGTTAACCGATTAAAACCAACTTAAAAACATGATAATCATCGCGCTACAATGTCATGAGTTTTAAATTATTCCTCGTATGTAAACTTGATCGATGAAGTTCACTCTAATTGTACTATATTTATCACGAAAAAAAAAACAAATATTGCCCGTGATAACAATCGGTGTACTGCAATTACACATTTGATAATCTTTTATACATACAATTACACATTTTGTCATGTAAATAATCTGCTGAGGATATCGTTAATTACACACAGAGACGAAACATAAATGTTTTGTTTATAGTTTGGAAAAAATGCGTAAATATTGTTATACATTATGTTTCATAAGATGTTATTATTATCTGTGACAATTACAGCTTTCCCTTAAACAAAGCGCCTCGAAAATCACATAGTAATATAGAGTAATAATAAAATCTTAGACCAAGAAGAGCCAATAATTAAATTATTTCATCTATTTCGTAAAAATGTATCCAAATGATATTTTTGTATCTCTGTGTACAAAAACCATTGCAACAAGGCTCGGTTCACTACCTGTGATTTTTGTCAAAACTGGTTTTGGTAAGGTTAAGACGGTTCAAATATGAAGTTTTGGGGTCAACAAGATTTTAAATTATAATAAGGGTAACAAAACATAATTTCTACTAATGTGTTTACATAGTAATATTCAATAGATGGCTATCATAGTCTCATAATATCCACGTTAAAACTAGAGAAGCCTGGTCATAGTCGACAAGAGATTATTTCCAAGCCGATGATAATGAAATAAAGTTCACATCTATGGTTTCCGTATAATAATTAACCTTCATACGAAATGAGCCAATGAAATGGCTTTATCAATAGTAATACAAAATAATTTTACGTAACTTTCTGATTTTAATCCAAAATGAATTACTATAAAACTCATAGGTCTATGACACTTAATAAAATTAATAATAACGATGTTTGTTAACAAATTATTTAATTATGTCTACAATATTCTAAGGATGTATATATGATAAGCAAGGAAGGTATGGTTATATAGTTTATTAGTAAAACTTACTACAAAATAAAAATAAAAAGATATTCCAATTCGATGAAAAACTTCAATCTGTATTCAAGTAAATATGTCTAGTCAATTCCTTCTGAATTCAACAGCAAGGTTAGAAGCCACAATTGGATTAGAATTTCAGTGAGCCTTAGTAAGGACAGAAGTCATGGCTTGCCGATTGCTATACGCGCCTATAATTTGATACAATATCGTTGCGAGGTTGCATATTGATTAATAAAATTGAAGACTCTGTTGTAAAACAAAAGCTTGTAATATTTGATTCTTTCATATTAGTATCGATTAACAAAACAGATGCTTCCATTAAGTTTGAAGAAACATAAACAATATTATTGTAAATATGTTTACGACAGTAGCTAGGTTTTAGTAAATTAAGATAAACATAACTTTGAAAAATATATTTTCAGGGCAAAACAAACATGTTTTAACTGCGATTTTATTCAACTACAAATTCTGTAGCTACTTAAATTTCAAGTTTTAACATTACATCAATAATCCTATTGAAACATTGCAACTAATAATTACTACAAACTAAACAGTTCCGCAGTTAACTGTTGGCCAAATCGATAACGGTTCATTTAAATAAATATCATAAAACTTTAATCGCTTTTCCGAGTAATCAAACGTCGCAAACCTAGTTGCATGTAGAATCCTATATCAAATGATCTACGTCAATTGTTAGTTGCTAAGTATTTAATTTCCTATTTCATTTATATTTAAAAAAAAAACATATTTTTATCATGAACAATTTTAGAAGATTAAAGAATCAAAATATAATTTAATTACAGTAAGAAGAGACTATGTAACATGATAATCTTAATCTGATTTCGGTTACAAGATCGTGTATCCCATAACAGTGTACACGGAAACCATTAGGTTTATAACGAATCATGCGAAATAGAAACCTTGTTTATAAACATTGTACGTTAATTTAAACGTTGTTATTTGTGATATATCATTGATTCATCAAATATACATCACTTCTGTGAACTTCTACTGACGTTTAAAAAAATTCCTCCTGTCACTTCCGTAATAATCTCGTTAAAAATTAAATAAAAAAAAATCGTACAGAAAATTAGTTTGAATACACAGTCAAGGATATTTACTACCCATTTCGGTGAAGTCATTTGACACAATGCCATTAAGTCGGAAACTTGTTACAGTAACATCACGTATAACTATTATTGTGACAGTTTGCCGCACGATAAACGCTCTTAAGTGGTAAGCTAATTTAATTCTTTGACTATAACTTGTTAAGAGAAAAGAGACGTGCAGTCTTCCTGATTCAGTTCACGGATGGCGCATCTGCATTGTGTAAAGTGACACCGGTCGTACCACGCTCCGGCGCGTGGTCTCGCCTTTGAGCCCCTACCAAGGATACATAGCACGTCGCAACATAACAACCCGTCCGTAATATAAACCGGTCCATTCAAAGTTGACACATACTCTAATAAAGACATTAATTTTAATAAACAATAGATAAACTTGAAATTATACACCAATTTATTAATCGCTGAAATATTTGAAGTACCAAACTTTTATTACCTTTGTCTAGGGTTGGCACACATGTTATGTATTACTGTATAAATGTAATAAACAGCTGCCTTCCTATAAACTATGGGTTAGTTTAAATTTTTAAGCTATAATTTGGAATAGTGCATTTCTTACTAACATTATAAATGCGAATGTTTAGATGGATGGATGTTTGTTTGAAGGTATCTCCAGAATGGCTGAACGGATCTCGGTAAAATCTGGGCATGTAGATCATAGTCTGGAAGAACAGATAATTAAGTTTTTGTTTAATTTCACGCGGACTGAGTCGCGGGCGATATCTAGTCATCCTATAAGTATCGGTTCGATGACCAAACTATGAAAACCTTCAATTTATAAGTATAATGAAATTAGCCTTAAAGCTAAAGTATAAAACTTTAATTACTCTAATAGTGCGCATAAATAAGATCATAAGGTCAAGTGAACAGATTTATTGTTACCGCATAGCAACTAGATGTGGTGTCGTGTTTGTTGGAATAATGGTAATCATAATTATAACATGCAACACTACAAATACTATATTAATAAGAATATATTGTTATTGTAAAAATCTTGCAAATAAGTTAAACTAATTAGAATGAATAATTTATAAGACTAAATTTACAGTGTCGATTTTATTATTTCTTGTTAGTATATTCCCTTTGCG